TCTAATTTCAGTTCGATTATCAAAAGTAGTTCACGTAATCATGTCAACTGCTCAGACCGGTAAGTTCCGGAACGATTCTAGGGAAAGATGTCAATGTCCCAGCAGCAGGACCTAGCGTGTAGAACTACCACACGCGGGCGTGGCCAAAATATCGTAACACTTACAGGTCAGACGCACGTGCGATGTTCTACCCCCCCCCCCCATTTCGGGGTTGTCTCCTACAATACGGGGAAATCCCACAAAAGTTCCACATAAATTAGAATGGAATACTCTTACATTTGTTTACTGTGGAGACTGGTACTACCATTCTACCTATAGTCTCTGTCATCAAAGTTGGAACGTTTGGGATTTGTATTTGACTAAGGTGTAGATGAGGTTCTAGGATCTTATGTATAACACCTTTCACCTAAATTGGCACTTATTAAGTATGTATTACGTATTTATAAAGTCTGCGCTAACATCTTACTTTCATGCAGCTAAAACTAATTATTTTAGTATTTGCTGATTTCAGTGAACAAAACAAAAATAAGCTTTGTGCTTAAATCCAAACAAACAAACAGGTGTACTTGCTCCCGGTCCCTCCCTACCTCAACTCCTTAGGGGCTTTGTCCCCTCCACATGGAAAATTTCCTACACCAATGATTAAAACTGTTGTGATAAAAATACACCCCCCCCCCCGTTTATAACAATGTAGACCTATCACGGTAGGTAACCCTAATAATTATCGACTTACCGGCGTCTTTATGTTGGTAGATTAGGATTAAATGAATTGAAAATTTGGCTAATTCTGAACTCAAGTAAACTCTACAGTGAACTAAAATTAAAATAAAAAATATGCTGACGTATAGACTTTTCTTTTGTCATATATGCATATACATATATATGAATTTAGGTTTCATTTGCATATTTTAGTCTAAGACTTGGAAGTGAATGTCAATTAAGATCATGGTATGCTTTAAACTAGTCAGAGACAATAAAAAATTTATATCTTCTGGAACCTCAGACTATCTCTACTGTCAGTCTTCTTCTTAGTGCTCGTTCCAATTATTTTGGGTCTGCTTTTCTGGTCCTTGCCCTCCACTCCTTCCTGTTCTGTATCAGAGTTAATTTCACATCCTATTTTCTCTCTCACTACACCCATCCACCTTTTCTTAGGTCTTCTTATTGTCCTTTTTCTTTCCACTGTCATATTTAAAACTCTTCTAACAACATATTCCTTTTATATTCTTTTCACACTATCGAGCCATCTAAGCTCAGCTTATCTCATCTCTTCCATAATTGGTACTACTTTCACTCTCTCCCTAATGGTTTCATTCCTGATGCAGTTTTTCTTTGGCGCTTTAACATTTGCATCTCCGCCACGTTCATCGTCTTCTCTTTCTTAAACCCCATGACTGGTCTTATCTCTGCCTTATAAATCTCCCCTTTCATCTTTATTTGATCATATCTTTTTTGGATCAATTTCAATAATTTTGGCAAGATTTGAGTTTCACGACCGGCTGATCGACATTAACCCTTCTCCTATCGTAACTTTGGCGGATGTCTACTGTCAGAAATTGAATGAAACAGCATCCACATAGTAGAAAAAGATTCGTAATACAATTGAAAAGGAATACAAGAAGTAGTACACATCAAAATTAAAAAGTTGTGTCCCCAAAGTGGTCTCAATCACAACTATATATATAAAATAATTCAAGTTAGCTGTTTATACCCCATCCCTATCTTCTCAAGCTCTCTATTGACTCAGCGGTAAGTCTGGTGGCTTAAAACGCTAAAAATTGGATTTCAGTACCCGCGGTGGGCAGAACACAGGTAGCCCATCTTTCAGCTTTGTGCTTAATAACAAACACACAAAGGTGTTTATAGTATCAATTGCTAAAAGACGTACTGTCTCCCTTTCATTGACGTACCAGCTCTTGTCTTCATGACATCGTTAACAAACTTTGTTAAATGTTAAAATTCTTATGTGAAGTATTTGGTTTCTATTTTTCAGAGTTAATTGTATATTGCTGTGAAATTCATCACTAATGTCTTTTTCCTTTTTTGACTCTGTATTGTTGTGAACAATAGTACTGTATCGAACGATGTACAGCGACTGATATAGGTTCAATGTTTATTACTGGAATCAATGCGAACCGTTCCTTTTCCAATAAACTATAGTCTCTGATAATGAACTCATGAAAAAGAATATTTAACATTAAATTTTATGTGAAAAGGCCAATCAAGAGCTAGGAAAATAACAGTAAAGGCAAAAATCCCCTTTACGTAATGAAAAAGCCCGATAAACCTGTCGTTCTCTTATTTAAATATAAATCATATTTCTCTGATGCCTCATTATCAAACCAGTTTTGTAAGTTTGTTATTAATAGATCTGGGGGATTTGGCAGGTTTTTAAGCTTTTGCATAGTGAAATTTTGTGAAGAGTAACAAATGCATGCATGCATGAAAGTTAAACGAGGTTTTAAAACAAAAATCGATCTATAAGGCTTAGATAGAATTCGAAAACCATACAGAAAAAACATTTTGACAATTTGAGGATACTATTGAAACGCAAAAAAAAAAGACGTTATATATTGGAATGATAATTGATAAGAGTTAGACAATTAAAGATAACAACCTACGACAATAACACCCAACCACATTTTTCTAAATCAGAGGATGTGGCTAATCCATGGCACGCGAGGCAGAAACATGCGGCACACCTGTGAATTAGAAAATATTACATGTTTTGCTACAAAACACAATTTTGTTTGGAATAAGGAGTATACAAGAACTGTTAATAAAATACCGAGGGTTGAGTACGTCATATAACAAAATATTTTGGAGCCCCGTTACGTCGTTACAGTTCATGCTGCCACGTCTGGTCATACTCTATCTGACGATCACCATCTTGACAATAACTATGCAGCGTAGTCTCCATTGCAAAAAGCTCCGCCGTAAGGCTGTCATGCCCAAAGCACAACACACCTTCCTGCATGCTTTCCATAACCCATCTAGTGTACGAAGATGACCGTTTCTCAGTGCCCGTTACAACAGTCCAATCGCAGAGAAATCCACAGGTGCTGCGTTAAGTATGACTTCATATGAAATAGCATGAATACAATTTCATTCTTCAGTTGCTTAAGGTATGAGATGGTTGAACGGAAGATATGTGTGCATGATTATGTTACATAAGAAATGGATGTTCCACGGCCCTCCAAAAAGCGATCAATTTTCGGTGCCAAACAATGTCCAAATGTAGTTCTGGTACAATCCATTCCACTGAGACTTTATTTTAGTTGTCACCTGACTTGCTGATTTGTATATTTAAAATCGTCTTAACATGATGTACTGAACCCTGTATATGTCATATTATTAAGTATTTCGTTTAATTTGACTACGTTCATTAGAACTACAGTATTTTTGTCTGAAACGAATAGTTTAATTTTTTTTCTTTACAACAACATTCGTATTCTGATTGAACAGTTCTAGCTATTATGACAAACATCGTATCTTGACTGATCAGTTCCTTAATTAAATCTTCGTATTTTGACTGATCAGTTCTTTGATTAAATGTTCATATTTTGACTGATCAGTTCGTTGATTAAATGTTCATATTTTGACTGATAAGTTCGCTGATTAAATGTTCATATTTTGACTGATCAGTTCCTTCATCAAATCTTCGTATTTTGACTGATCAGTTCTTTGATTAAATGTTCTTATTTTGACTGATCAGTTCGTTGATTAAATGTTCATATTTTGACTGATAAGTTCGCTGATTAAATGTTCATATTTTGACTGATAAGTTCGCTGATTAAATGTTCATATTTTGACTGATCAGTTCCTTCATCAAATCTTCGTATTTTGACTGAATAGTTTAAAGGTGTTCCTCATTATTACATAAAAAAACTCGCATGTCTTCAAGATCTTTGCTTTATTAACAACGTCAAGAATTATAGATAACATGGGTATCTTTACATCGGCCGAACAGCTCAAAATAGTGGATGTGATATTTAGTGTTGGCCGAAACCTTTGCCTTTGCTAGTGTCTCTATACACACACAGATATATATATATATATATATATATGTTTATCTCCCTGAGAAATGACTAATTCTTGCTATACTGAAAATGCTCAGAGACGTTTTTAAATGACTGACCTTTACTCAAATGCGCAATGCATCATTTACATCACACAACTACACAAAAACAACTATGTATGAAATCCGTACCCAGACCTTTTACAAATCAAAACCGCAACAATTTTTACGTAAAAGTTATATGCCAAAAAATCGTTAGGAGTAATTGTACGGTTTTAACTATATTTCATATTGGCCACGGTGCTGTGTGAGCAAATTACATTACTGTTCACAATCGGGATGGGATGTCCCACGTTACTTTTATCCCTTGCAACAATCTTACCCAAAATATTCTCAGATATCATATATTGAACAATTTGTTTACGCCTGTTACACCTCAGTGTAAAGAACCGACTAAATTTGGTAGAAATAACTAATTTTTTACTCAACATAATAAAACACTTAACAGTTATTGGTCAAGGGTGTATCCAGCACCCAGTTTTATTATGTTTTATAGATTGTGTAACTTGTGTGATATTAATGACCGTGCTACCAATGATTTCATAGATCCATAATCAGTATGGAACTTAATAACAGTTTAGAAATTTGTTTAAAATGCTGATGGGTTATAGTAGTTTTAAGGTTAATAAAATACCCTATACAGTCGGAAGTACTGTAATACTTCATATGCACATAAAAAGGAAAAATCAAAATAGTCAAGTTCACTGTACAAATTTTTAATAATATTTAATAAGCTGAACTGACGGGTTACACCAGCAACCACACGTTCAGCAAACTCTACATTCAACACTTTATAAAATACTCATGAACTTTTAATATAATCTTTTTCTCAGTATAAGTAACATTTCTTAGTAGTGATTATACGAAATACCTATCCGGACATCTGTTTTAAAAAAGAACAAATATCTAATAATTTTACTCTTTACAATGTAATAGGCAATAATTATCACATAAGCAATTAAGATGATTATCGGAGCAACAGAACTCCTCAAACCATTATCCGTAGGCATACAAATCGCAGAAAAGTTCAACAGGTTAAAGCAACAGCCTAATCGACATAAAATTAACAGTGGTCCACGGAAGCAAATGTGTTCTTTATGAATAGGCTCACATATTAGGCAGACGGGCTTGGATACGATCGAACTGGCCAATCTTAGCAATTTCAGTGTCCACATTTTCTTGGGGTACTCCAACATTAGTGAGCAACGAACGCAACACACTCAGTTCTTTGGTCAACAGCTCCACCCGGCTGCGTAAGGAGTCGTTTTCGCGAACGAGTTCAGAAACTTTGCGTTCAGTTTCGCGACTGCGTTGCTTGGCTTTCTCACGAGATTTTCTGACTGCAATGTTATTACGTTCCCGTCGACGTCTGTACTCTTCACTGTTCTTGTCTACTAGTTTTTTACATTTACTTTTACCGTGAGGCAGTGTTCGGTAATTACTGCTACTACTAGAACAGCTGTCTAGACTATTCTGCATTCCTTCACCCAAATCTTGCCTCAGACCTACACCGTCGAAGCTGTCCAGCAGCGACGCGGTGGTAGTCACAGGCCTTGGATAGGTAGAGGTCTCCACAGCAGCCGTAGTTCTGACGGCAGTCTCTAAACGATGAAGTCGGTCTTTGGCACTGGAGAAATCACCGAGTAGTCCCAGGTCAAGAAATTTATCAAAATTGTCAAAGTCTATAGGTTCTTGTTTAATATTGACGCCAAGTTCAGCCCCGTAACGGTCAGTTCCAAGAGTAGTTTGATGAGGCATTACCGGGAAGGAAGCGACGTCAGACTGGGCCTGTTCGGCGGCCAGTAACTCTATGGTGTCGAGCTGGGTTGGCGTTATATCTGTCCCAATACTAGTTGGTGGAGATTTTGCACTATCAAAGATGTCAAAGAACGAGCTGTTTAAACAACCTTTCCTAGAATTTTTAGTGTTAATAAAATTTTGTAAATTAAAAGAAAACTCGGGTGAGTTAAGTTCAGTAAGATCTGACTCAGAACAATCAATTGTCACAGGTGCCACAGTACTACTAATGTTTACGTTAGGCTTAGTATCTTCAAGTTCATGGAGAGAGCCGTCATACATGTACGGTGATTCCATACCTGGTGAAGTTATCAAACATGGCGAGGGATTGCTGGTGAAGTAGTCCACAGAAGCATGAGCTCGATATGACGCCGTCTTGATGCAAGGGCTACTTGCCCTAAGTGATTCACTTAACAGTAAAATGATTGCACAATAAACGTAAAACAACTTAAGTTCTACTTCTTCTTTCGAACTTATGTCCTCTCAGCCTACACAAAACCCGAATTCTGAAATCTACGCAGTAAGTATGGTGTATTTATAACTTTTACATATTATGTTCATCCGCTTCACATCACGTGATAGGGAATTACTTAAACAACATTCTATATTTCGTAAGATATTTATACTATTTTATGAAAATTTCACCAAAATAAAAGTTAACACATTTTATTTTCACTTCACTTTAATATTTGTTAATTTTTAGAATTTAAAGCAAAGTTTTTGTAGAATTATTTCTTTGTATGCGCAGCATTTGTCTATTCACACACCACTAACGTCATTGCATTTCTGATTGGACACAACGAACTTGCCTCTTCTTTGACGTCTGAATAATACGAATTTGCTGCGTCACGCAAGCATGAGGTTTAGCATGCTAAGAAAGGTGACTGTGGATGAGAGCGGTGTGAACAAGTTGGATCTTATTTTTGAGACTAGCGATATTACATTGTGGAACTTAAATTTTTCCAGTAAATATATTTAGTTCAAACTAATATACATTCACTCAGCCTATACCAAATGGATTATGTATTAATACGAGCTTTTTAATTTTATTTTTAAGGTGTGTGTTTATCCATGAAAATCTAATAAAGAAATTAACTATGGATGTAATGGGCGAGTGAATAAATTCAGATTTTATCATTCGTTTTTACTTTTATACACATGTATTTAATTTCAAAACAAATATCCGGACATAAGTTAAATATAGTAAAACTGTTCATTTAAAGAACGTCGTACATTTTCGATGACGAGGAACCCACTTTGATACTAATGATGGTTGGAGATGGCTTGAATGGGTAATGATATATATGAATAATAATCTTTAACTTTTTAGTAGTTTCCATATCTTCAAATAATATTATAGTTTTTTTTTAAATAAATCAACTTCGTCATATTTGACGGATAACTGAAAATTTAAACGAGACACTAAAATATTTGCTCATGATTTGATGTCACCAACAATGTTTGCATGATGAAAATATATTTACATTTGTACAGTGAAGTTTATTTTTTGTCTTATTCGTAAACACGGTGAAATAATACGTTCTGCACCCATAAGAATTCTAAAATTTCGAGTAGTGTTGTCATCAAACACGAGATAACAGGTACCTGTATGATACTTTGCTGGTACTAAGGCGTAAACAAGTCTGAGCTGTGGTTTGGAAAAGTACCACGACGTGGCGCCTGCGTGAATTCTTGGAAATGAGATAAACAAGTTTTTACGGGGCGACGATGTTATCGTTGTTATGGTAACATCTGGTAAATAGGTTCAGGTACAGGAGGTATTTGAATTGCAAGAATATATATATATATGATAAATTCTAGTAATTACCTTATAATATCCTACAATCATTGTCATTTTATAAACGAATATATTTGTAAAAAAAAAAGAGGGGGAGTAAGACAAAACAGTATTGCTTTTATACTTATTTCAAGTTGTTTTCTATATGAAGTCCTTTTTAGTTGCCCCCCAGTGGCACAGCGGTATGTCTGCGGACTTACAACGCTAGAAACCGGGTTTCGATACCCGTGGTGGGCAGAGCACAGACAGCCCTTGTGTAGCTTTGTGCATAATTAAAAACAAACAAACAAACCTTTTTAGTTTTCCTTTCAACTTAGCTTTCCATATTCACCGGAATGTATATTTTAGGATTTATTATAGAGTTTTGTTTATCAACGATTTGTTTCAATCTATTTTTATCGGATTACGTTAATTAGCTAACAGCAGTATTAACGAGGTGTCCAGAACTATAAAGGTTTGTGAAAATCTAAAGAAACATATTCATTACATTAAGTAAAATAAGACGATAATATAAACAACCAGTGAATGTTGATTTATGGTATCATTTACTTCCAAACAATTTCCCAACGCAACTATTTTAGTATCGAAAAGAAGATAGAGCAGATGTAATTAGTTTTTCAGCAGTAAATTTGGCATTAACCTGTTAACTCTTTAGATAGTTTTGAAATTCATACACATCAATTTTCTTTTAATAGCAGGAATCTTGATCGGGGGGGGGGGGTATGATATTCCACCTCTGCCTCCCTCATGTAATGGTGTTTAGTCGCTTCACGATTGTACGTGCCATCCTTGTTCTCAATATCGTTTGATTTTGGTACATGTTCTGCCGAGGCATCACATTAAAATAAGATGTTGATATTACTTAAAGTCACTGATATGATTTCAATATCCCTATCAGGGACGTGTCCATTCGTGTTCTACGTTTATCATTTGCACTGGTTTACATTTTGCTTTATTTGGTATGCTAAACTCTTGCATATTTCAAACAGTTCCATATACTCCAGTGCTTGTCCATTTTGTAGCATATCGTATATGTATTGACATACATACCCTTTTTTAAAACACAATGTACACACTACATAAATGATATATTAGGTAAGTCTAGCATTAGTGTGTTTTAAATAGCAATGGTTTGTGGTTTGTTTGGTTTGAATTTCACGCAAAGCTACTCAAGGGCTATTTAGCCGTCCCTAATTTAAGGGTGATAGACTAAGAGTAAAGCAGCTAGTCAACATCACCCGCCGTCACATTATAACGTCCCAACAGCTGAAAGGAAGAACATGTTCGGTGACGAGGATTCGAACCCGCGACTCTCAGATTGCAAGTTGAGCACCTTAACCCTCAGGCCTAACAATGGTTTGGTTTGTTATGAATTTCGCGCAAAGCTACACGAGGGCTATCTGCACTAGCCGCCCCTAATTTAGCAGTGTAAGACTAGAGGAAAGCCAGCTAGTCATCAACACCCACCGCCAACTCTTGTATTACCCTTTTCCAACGAATAGTGGGATTGACCGTCACATTATAACGCATCCTCGGCTGAAAGGGCGAGCATGTTTTGTGTGACGGGTATTCGAACCCACGAACCGCAGATTGCGAATCGAGCGCCTTAACCACCTGGCCATGCTGGGCCAGGCCTAACAAAGGTGGCATCGGCATATCTTTTGAAATATGTATAAACTGTTCAGTATATTTATTTAACCAAATGTTCTCACGGTTTTTGAAAGAATATTAGCTAAACATGGTGGAACTTTTGATGACATGGAAACTCCACCTCTTTATTCATAATGACAATCATTCAAAAACAAATTAGTTTAATAACAACTGGTTTCATTGTTCACTTAATAACATCCGAAATTCGAAAAATTAAAATAATATTTAATTCCCTTACTTCATTGAAAGGTATATTAGTATGTAATGACTAAGTGTTCAAACTAACAATATGTAAGACGATTTGTAAACGTAATGAAGAAATTTTAATACATACCACATGTTTCGACAGAACATTGGTCTGTCTTCTTCAGGTATGTATTAAAATATTTCATTATGCTTGTTTGTAAGTCCGCAGACATACCGCTGTGCCACTGGGAGGCTTCATTATGCTTACAAATTGTTGTGTCTCACATATACAAGTCTCCTAACGCAATGTGCTTCTGTACACAAATAATATAGTTCATCAAAAACTAATTTATAAACATCTTTAGAAAACTGAAAACTATCTGTTATTGTAAAGTCGTTTGTTAAAAACGGCTAAAACAAAACCGACAAAAAACCTGCTAGTTTATATGTAAAAAATATGTACGATACAATCGGTCTTATAGGACAGTTTATTTTGTAAACTTTAGATAATCCACAATGCGAGTCAACTGATATGGTTTCATTTTAAACCGTTTCGTATATTAATCCTTCTTTTTAAGTTATAAAAAATAATTTTGTAAACATCCCTCTCTCAAAGCTGTAGGACTGAACTTCAATTTCCTATATGTAGTATTATCGTTCAGAATAGCTAAAGCCTTTTGTGTATAATCTATTAATTCAGAATTGCTACACTATTGCCTTTATCAGGTTTAAGAGTTACTAAATTATCCGATGAACTCAGATATTTTATAGCTAAGTTTTCTGTAGCTCCTAGGGTCAAACTAGGAAAGCATGAAAGCGCCGAACCGGAAACTTCGGTAACTATTTCATCAAGATTATCATGAATAAGTGTGAGTTTTACCGTCTCTAACAACGAAACATTCTACATAATCTAACTTCTTAAGAGTAACTGAGTACCCTTTTTATTAATAGATTCTGTCAACTGATAATCCGAGAGATTGTAAATATCTCGCGTGGAATCTTCTAAAAAAAAGTATACACACTAAAGTTTTCACGTTTTAACCTGTATAACTTTTTATTTGTTTTAATCACAATTTGATAAGAATCTTATTTTTATGAAATTGAACAACATGAATCAAATTTATAAAGTCTAATATGCTTTCAAATTTTTCTGTCACAGTTTTGTACGTTTTCTACTTTCAGTTTATATTATAATTTTAATTTTAAAACTTATTTTCGAAGACCTATAGTAATTACTTGACCTTAAATTGAAGTTAGTGAATTTAAAGTATGTAAAAATATCTTGTATACGACCATTTAAAAAATTAATATGCAATCTGGTTTGTTTGTTATGAATTTCGCGCAAAGCTAGACGATGGCTATCTACGCTAGCCGTCCCTAATTTAGCAGTGTAAGACTAGAGGGAAGGCAGCTAGTCATCACCACCCACCGCCAACCCTTGGGCTACTCTTTTACCAACGAATAGTGGGATTGACCGTTACATTATAACGCTCCCACGGCTGAAAGGGCGAGCATGTTTGGTGTGATGGAGATTCGAACCCGCAGATTGCGAGTCGAGCGCCCTAACCAATCTGGTTTCCTACAGTTTTAAATTTATTTAAAACATCATCATTTTCGAATAATTTGAACTAATAGAACTTTTTTTTTCAGAAATCGTAATCTCAGAATGAAAATAATAATCAATGAGACAATATACATGATAACATCAGGTATTTAAATTACAACACACGCATTATTTGAATAGTACACTGTCGCCAAGATCCTATTGATATACTACATAAATTGTTTGTTTGTTTGTAGTTAAGCACAAAGCTACACAAAGGGCTATCTGTGCTCTGCTCACCACGAGTATCGAAACCCGGTTTCTAGCGTTGTAAGTCCGC